TCCGCGCAGGGGACGCCGCGAAGATTCCTACTCGGCCAGCCCACCCAGACGACGCGGTCGATCCGCCAGCTATTCACGATCTCCCTCCCCAGCCCGAAATGGCCCCAGAGATCGCAGTCAGAGCGGAAGCCCGCCGCCTCGTCGCGCCAAAAGAGATAGCTACTCAGCCAGCAGATCGCCTCCTCCGAGAAGAGGACGGTCCGCATCTTACTCCGCAAGCCCCCCGCCAGCCAGGGGTGCACCCCGCGGCCGGAGCCCCAAGCAGGACACGCGTCGGGCTGTCAGGCGAAACAGCTCATCGGTGAGCAGCGCGCCGCGCAAACGCGCCCGCTACGGCAGCCGTTCACCAAGCCGCTCGCCCAGCCGGTCCCCGAGTCGCGGATCTTCGGTGGACTCACGATCCCGTTCACCAGTTGACCGCAGAGGACCCAGAGATAGTCGGTCCCCGCCACCCCGCGGTAGCGTCTCTCCGCCGCCGAGGGCGCGAAACGGTAGGCGAGACTCTTACTCGAGGTCACCGAGCCCGCCGCCCAGAAGACAGCCTGCGCCGAGAAGGGATTCGCCGGTGCGATCAAGCCCGGCCGGTGTGAAGCGGAGGAGACACAGCGACTCGATATCTAGGTCGAGAAGTCCACCGCCCGTAAAGAGGGGACGGAGAGGAGATTAGACAGGGCGGAAGTGTATGATGATGGAAATGGAAGAAGCCCGTTTGGGTCAGATTGAACTGTATAGCTAGCAGGACTTAGGGTCGGTGCTGTGATAATTGAATGGCGGTTTGCTGCTTTGGGCGGCCTTTCTACAACATTGATCTTTTTGTGTGATGATAAGACGACCTTGATGGCGTCAAACTGCTGCGGTTGTGGCCATGTTCTCAGCCCTCTACACGCCTCGCTGCTGTGCCCTTCATCAGCATTAACTAACGACAGAGTTCGGCTTGGTAGAGAGCTTGCCAGCTAAAAAGAAGACGCAATTGCTTTCAGAGGGTCGAATTGCACCGCAACTCATTCTCAGCTATGCCAATTCTCTTGCACTTTGACAACTGAACGACGACCGGCCAGTCGACTGCTATCTTCTTGCTGCCTACGGTTTGTCAATATTTTTGAATTGAGAAGAGGTTTTGTGTCTCATCTAGGAGGAACATGGAGCTGTACCATGTCGAATGGTGCCATAGGCTTAGAAATACCCATGGATACCCACGAGTACCCATTGCCTATTACCCATGGGCCCGTGGGTAACCACTAATGGGCCTTTTTATCTCGTGGGTACCCATCAGGAAGCACCCAAGCTTGGGTATCCATGGGTACCCGTGGCACGAGTACTCTAAAAGCTCCACATCCGAGCCGAGGTAAGCATTTGGCCAGTTGTTCTGTGGTGTCTCAACGTGCAAGAAGAAAGTCTTGAGCAAAGAAAAGGCCGTAGTATTATGTGACAGCTAACCAGTATCATCCAAGACAATCGCGTTACGGGACAAAACGAATCAGACAATCCCCTCTCCCAGATGGTATTCATTGCATCAAATGCCTTCATCATTGCTCCCAGAGTTTGTACGAGTTTATCAGATATACATCTACCATGAGGCAGGGCCAGCCGTGAGCAGCCAGACATCTTGCCTCTCAGCTAGTGCTGCGCATCTTCCTTCTTGTCTGCTTTCAGAGGCTTGCGTCCGTAAATGACGTAGCCGTTCCAGTAGGCATGAATCTTTGGGTCCTGGATATCTCTTCTGGTCTGCGCGCACAGAACCAAGGTTTCCTCTCTAGTCCAGCCTAAAGTGCGAGTGAAGTTGGCCAGTGCCAGGCCCTCCAATCCAGGCAGTAGTGATGCCTGCGTCCAGAGACCAATCTCCTTCAAGCGCCTGTCTTTAGGCCACGGCGAGATGGGGAACTTGAGAGGGATCTTGACCACATCTTCGAAGCCAGCCTCCCTCATAAGCCTATCGAAGGTGTGCGTTTTGCTGATCGTGCGACCGATCTCCTCACACGCCTCGGCGCCCATCGTCGTGTACTTGTAGATGGCCATGTCCTCGGTCATGCTTCCATCGTCACATACTGCAGGCCACTCGCTATCCTGGATTTCCATCCAGCCACCGGGCTCAAGGTGGTTGTAGGCCTGCTCAATAGCTGCTTCCCAATCGGAGAAGCAGCCGATCATGTTACGCGCGAGGATGAAGTCGAAGGGCTTGGTCCAAGTCCACTCCTTCTCAACATCATCAATCTCGAAAACGCAGTTCGGGGGAACATAGCCGGGCTGGATAGGGCTGAGGTCTACGCCAATAACCTCAGCGTCAGGGAACGCGTCAGCGTAGTCGAGGGCCCATATTCCGGTACCAGTTCCAAGGTCCAGGACGCGCTTAGCGCCCTCGTTCTTCGGGCACATGCAGAATCTGTTGTCCAGAGTGACCATCCAGACATGGTTGACGATGTCGAGGCGCTCCTGCTCCAGATCGTCGTTTGGCAGAATGTACTTGCCATCACTGAGGCGGTGGTACGTACGGCCGTTCTCACGGCGGTAGTCGAGAATCGTGGGGCGAAGCGAGGCCTGCGAGTCATCGGTCGTGGAGTAACCGTCGATCGAGACACCGTCTGCGTCTGGTTCGATCGGACCCGGCACATCGGGTTCGAGCTCAGGCTCGGACTCCACAGGAGACTGGGCTGCTGGTGCAGCGATCGGCGTCGACGGATCGGCCGTAGGAGCAGCCGTTGTGGAAGCCGTAGGAGCAGTCGTGGAAGTAGGAGGAGGAGCAGTGGGTGAAGCGGCCGTGGTAGGGGCCGCAGTAGGAGCCGCAGAGGCGCTGGCCTCACTTTCTTGTTGTTGACCGGTCATTTTGACTTTCGCGTACCTGGACTTCGTCTAAACATCATTAGTTCCCGCTCGCGCTAGAAAAGCGCAAGCTCGCCTTTTATCTGGGAGCAACGCAACGGAAGGGCTGGGACACCCCTCTTCGCAGGGCTATCCTCGTTTGAACCTATCCACTTCAATAGGTACCTCCGATATGCTGGACCAGGAACGGTGGGCGGTTCGTATGCCACGGCCCCACTTGCCGTTGTTGGCCTCGACGTCGTTCCTTAGCGGCCGGGACGGCGTCCCGCCCCAATCGGACTTGCAGCAGAGCTCCACTGCTGCAGTTTGCTGTAGATTTTGGTTCCAACAGCATATTGCATTCACTCTTTTGGATTTGTCGCTCCGAGGAATTCGCTTCCGGCGGTTGGTGTGGTTGGTCGTCTTCTGATATCTGCCTCGGGGACGGCCTTCCGCGCCGATGTCCATAGTTTTTGGTTGTTGAAGAACCCAAATATTCGGAGTATTTTGAAGGCAAGATGGTAATCACACAGTCCGGCGAGGACGTACAGGTCCAAACCGGAAGACACGCTCGAATAACCCACGCAGTGTTTCGAGCTTGTTTTCACGCATACCTAGATAGATATACACAATCCTGGTCACGCGCCCGACACCTTTGTTAATGTAAATGACTTTGAGTTCTTGAGAGCCTTTTTAGCCCCGCAGAGGCTTGACATAAGAGGACAAGGTTAGCAATCACGATTTCTAAGCTCAAGCCCATTGCAAGATTTTCAAGACCTTGAGAGATTCTTGCCATAGAGCTCGGTTGCAGCCTAAATGATTTTCTAATTATTTAAGCGCCATGACTTCACTGATTCCTCCCACGATTCAACACAAACACGCAGCCACCGAGTCTATCAAACAATAGGAACGGACATGGTGATCTCGACAAGATGTCTTCAACATCACTCCCAAGGTAAGATCCTGAATCATCTTGATTCTTCATGCTAATCGTCATGCCACGATAGCTCTACCCAGTCTATACCCGTCACATTCAAAATCGGTCGCGCAGGCACCATATTTTACGTTCACAGTGAGCTTCTTGCAGCTCAGTCTCCGTCACTAGAAAAGCTCGTGGTGGAACATGCAACGGAACAAAATCATGGCTCGGTCCATTGGGGAGACGTTGGCGAGGCGATCTTCGGTCGCTTCGTAAGCTACATCTACACGGGTGACTATAAGGAGGCAAAAGTCGTCCCTCGTCATGGCATGATTGAATATGGTGCCATGATCCCTGGCAAAGAAGATTCCGCGGTATCAGAGACTTTGTCCCAGTCTGCAGATTCATCGTGGGATCAGCCTGCACAACGCCAGCCGAACCAGCGACGGCGCAATCGCAAAAGGCCATGGAGTCAGTTTTTGAACCTGCACCCGGAACCGATACAGCCGGAGGAATTTGTTGATGGGAAGGGGGACCATACCGAGCTTTTCCTATCCAACGCGGAAATGTATGTTTTTGCTAAGAAGCACGACATTGAAAGTCTACAGGAACTGTCGCTGCGCAAGCTAAGGGCAGCCCTTGAGGAACTTCTCCTAGATGAGTTCAATGACGAAGCCATCGGCGATGTCGCAGATCTTGTCAAGTATACCTACAAAGCTACGAAGCACCAGCAGGATGACAAGGAGCCGCTGAGACATCTGGTCACTCTGTACGCGGCTTGCAAGATAGATATTTTGTGGACATGGCAGAGTTTCCGGGACATGGTTGAGAACAATGGTCAGCTTTCGAAAGGTCTTATCACTCACATGTTGGGCCGCCTCTGATCTTGACAAAACCTGACTGGATTTGAGTAATTAGTACTGTTCTCAAGACTACCAAGCTAAGAGCCAATGAAAGTCCATAGGCTAGACAACGGAACTCTTCCAAGGATCGATGACACTCAATCAAACTTACTACATGCACTAGTACCTGGATAGACATGTAATATCAGGCCCTAACCCTAACCCCTGTCACTTGTCTACCTTTTTCGCTTTCGTGGTTTAAACTTTTCGCCTCATAGTATCGTAACGGTTGCATAATACATGCAGTGCTTCTGAATAATCATTCGGTGGTTCTGAAATTCAATTCTCTAACCTTGTCTCTACTCGTGTTGTGCTACATCCCAACAACTTCCACAAAGCTGTTGATACAGACGCGCTGTTGAAAGTTTGTCATTGACCCGCAGTCATTCAGTAAGCGGCCAAGAGTTCCGGAGTGTCTTGTTCAAACTGACGACACTAAGGCTAAGCGGATATTTGACGCCTGGTTGCTGGTTGAAGACAGAAGCCCCTAGGATCATGAGTCTATCAGGCTGTTTCTGGAACACGTGCACTGCGCGGCTGTATGAGCTCGGCTGTGACACGTTGTTGACCTGCCAAGATCCCCCATCGCCGAGCGCCGTATTCGTGAAGACTGCTGAATGATCGGCGTCGGAGACGATGATGGTACCGTTGGGCGCCGGTTCGGGCGACCAAGTTACGTACGGAGATGCGCTGGCCGCCGCAGCTGAGCCAAAGCGCCGCGTGTCAAGAAGGTGGTGTGGCGCGGCATCAAACTCAAGTGGGCTGCGTGCGATGCGGTAGTAGACGGGATACTCGGCGCCAGTAATATTCGGAGCTCCTGGGAACTCGTACACCAGCACCCAGCTGTCGATTGGCTGCACGTACGTCACCACCGTCATTCCAGGGCGTCGAGCATATTCGGCGTATGCTACATCATTGACAACAGGTTCCCAGTGTCGCAAGTCGAAAGACCTTTGGTGTGCCAACTTCTGACCGTGCAACGGGTCACGCTGATCGCTGTAGTAGCAAACGAGAGAATTGTTGTAGATGCTAGTATGATCGTGAGCTCAAGAAGAAGGGGCGAAACACAAGGACTGTACAACTTGGCGTAGGCGATGGGGTAAAGGAGTGCTTACAGCAAGTACGGCTCCCACACGGGATCTGCTCCATTGGTGGTGTTCGGCCTGCCCCCCTCAGCCGCGAGGCTCACAAATTCCCAAGTCTTTGCTCCATCGGTGCTGGCGTAGATATCGAAGCGAGTGCCATTTTCTGACCAACTGTTTCCTGTAGCCAGAATTGTGCCAGCTGGGTAGCCACCGAGAGGCTCTGTCAATTCAGCTAATGCAGGCTGAGCGCTGAGACCCCAACCGTTGACCTGGTCGGTTATGTTGGAAATCCAAGACCAACTTGCACCGCCATCTTTGCTCTCGAAAACAGGAAAAAATGAAGCTGAGTAGCCACTCAATGAAGATGTAACCAGAAGTGTGCCATCTTCCAGTTCGACAAAGCGAGGATACAAGGCCGATTTCCCATCTTCGGGCTGGTAGATAACGTTGTTGTCGAAGAACCCAAACGGCTGCGGACTATCTCTTTTCAGAAGTTGTCCTCCAACTAAACGAGCCAGGGCGAGAGCGAAAACGGGCGTGAGAAAAGATGAGACGAACATGTTCTTAACAACTACAGTACTAAAAGAAAGTCTGAAAGCAGTGGAATACATGCCACGGCCATACTTTGGACGTCGTTGAACGTTTATAATCCGACTGAGCAGTTCTCTCTTAATTTATTTAAATTTCAGAGATGAAATCGCAAGGTGGCGTTCTACATGCGTTGCAGTAGACTTCTCGTGTTTGGATTGCGAGTACCTCGGACAGACTCGTACGGACGGGAATACATTTCCCTCAGTCCGCAACAGGAACCTGGCGTCATTTTAGTCTAAAGTACGCATTTCCGCGGCATTCATTTGCGGCCCTCAAATGAAACAAGTGCACCTAAAAGTCTTTTTGAGTAGTCATGCATAGCATGGCAGTGGCTTCTACCAACTAGCTAGTATCCAGCCAGTTGAGCATTTCAGGAGACTCAAGAGTACCTTTTGCCCTGCACAGAAACAGATTTATTTGACATGCTTCACGTCGCTGAGCCGAGCAGTGCAATTTGTGCTGGGGAGATGACGAAAAAAAAGATAACTCAGAAAGGTTGACACAACAATATCATTGAAAAAGCGCTGAGGAACGATTTCCAACTGACGTGGTCTTTGAAGCCCCTATGACGGAATGTAGAAGTGAAATGCAACAGTGATCATGGCGTTGATCACCACAGCTACGCTGGTGAACGCCTTCTTTCCCAGTACATAAACATCAACCTCGACTTCTGCTGTTGTTGGCTTGGATAAGTGACCCAGTTGAATCTGTCCATAGCCCGCTAGTATTGAATCAGTCATGACGGCAAAGGCGTGTTCCAGTCCGGACAATGTCGCATCCCGTTCTGGTACCAGACCCTGTGCGTTGAACGAACTGTTCCAGGCGGCAATGCTCGAGAGAAGGGCATCTCCAAGTACAGAACCATAGAAGCTCTGCAAGCTGTTCGACATCACGTCGAATTGTCTTACTGCTCTTCGTGTCAAGATGCGCTCTGGGTCGATGTCTTGAGTCTTAACACCGCTCATTGGAACGACAGCGATGCTCTTATCTTTGACATCGACTGTTGCCTGGAACAACGTAGGCACAAAGTCTACTGTGCACTGCGTGGTGTTTAATGCTCGGTAATTTTCTCCTGCCGCGATGGAGATGTAGCGTCGAGGCGACTGAGCGCTGTCGGCGACACCAATGGCAACGATGGAGTCAGAAGTTGCACCGATGTACTCAGACCATTGAGCACTGCCCACAGAGTCGGGTAGGAATCCAGTGACGGCAAAAGTTCTATGAGGATATTCTTTCCCGATCCGAAAGTTCGTGCTGCTGTTGTACAGACACTCAACCTGAGGGAGGTAGCCAACCTCCTCAAACCGGTATTTCCGAACGGACTTCTTGAGACCATCGTCTGAGATGCCCACTGATGAGGCAACTCCATACGACCTTCCCTCAAAGAAGTAGCCGGTGTCATCGAGTTTCGGTTGTCCTGTTGTAGAAGGCTTGAATCCGGTCAAAGATTTCAAAAGGTTGGGGCTGATGGAAGAAGTGGACTTTCCGTCATTATTGTCGACTAGGTAGTTCTTTATGAACGTCGTGTTTGCGAAGGATGGGATGGAGATGCTGCCTGAAACAACCGCAGTATGTTTTGTCGGCATTATTGCGCCAGTCCATAGTGCTGACGAGAATACGCCAAAGATAGATAAGATGACAATCCAAGACAATGAAGTGGAAGACACATCTCTGCGTGTTCCAAGATTTCTGTGAGAAACTTCTCTCTTCGTATCGCTCCAGGGTACTGTCGTATTGCCGAGAAAGCCCGAAATCACATTGTTATGGATTAGATAGGCAATCGCAGAGATGTGTGAGATGGTGATGGCGTAGGCGGCAAGGCGGGCGACGAGCTCGAAAGGAACGCGTTTTGAGATATTGATGTGTAAAGCATTCAATACACTCCCAGCCAATTGAATGATTGGCCGTATAACAGAACATGTCGAATCATTCTCGGCCAAAGAAGATTCGTACCAGGCGGGGTCGAAAGCCCATCCGCGAGAGTCCGAGATAAGGAGCACCAAGCTAAGAATTCCGGTGACGCACAAACGTGCCGAGACGTTTTGCCTTCTCCAGAGTCCCGCTATGGAGATCCGCCTATGACTGAAAAGAGTGCTCATGTTGGTGGTTGCGAGCAGCTAGTACAGTGAGTGCATCAAGCGCCGTGCGAATCGTTTGCGTCGCGGAACTGATGCTTTAAGGCTCTGCAAGACTGGCCCACAGGAAGCAGAATGTTGAATAGGGGAGAGTCAAAAAGACCGAGCCTTCTCCTGTTTGCAGGACGCTTTGTAGTTATGTCGTTGGTTCCGGGGTGCTGCATCTCTTGTTGGTGCTCGGACCCAATCAGAAACGTTGATTTGCCGCTTGAAGATGCAACCCCCTGACTGCGCCGCTCCGCTCTGGCGCGCGCCTCACCACTTGTAAGTCGTGTCGTTCCTACTACTCTGTGACCTTGAGAGATGAGGCCAAATGGCAGCATATCTGTTGATACCTTGAAGTTTATTAGTAAGAATTTTCTCTTTCTAGAACACTAAAAAAAAAAAAACTGGGTAACAAAACCAAAGTGTCGTTCCTACTATGCTGCAAGTTTGAACCTTCGTAAAATTCGAATCGATGCATGAAGTAGGTAGAAGATAGTGATCTTGGATAGGACTGGTGAAAGAGGACCGGTGATGCGATTACTGCTCAACCTCGGTGACACAACTGAACTTGCGAATGACCTCCTTCTGTGCCGCACTAACCCTGTCACGTAATGTAAAGAGTGGAATCATGAAGCAAGGGGTTGTGTCTGAATTCAGGTAGACGGCCGTTGGTCTCCTTGGCACTAACTTCAAGCATCAAAAAAAACGGGAATTGTGTTCAGTACCTACTCAATTTGAGCGTCTTCTTTCTTGGGCAAGCTAAACTCTTTCATGCCAGAATCCGTGTCACAGCACAAAAGGAATGAGAAACTTCTATGTTGGCGTTGAGTGCGAAATGTCAAGTTGATACAGCTTTCCTTGGTGCGCATCCATGCCATGATTGGACCTCATTTAACGTGCATGCTGCCAAGCAAGAGAGCAGCAGCCTCCCAGACTTCATTTCGTGTTGGTAGTATTTTGAGTGGAATTCCTGACGAAAATCAACCAATTGCAGTGATCACCGACGATGTGGCACGGCGACGAAGACTAACCCGCGTGTTCCGACAACTGGAAAAGCAGGGCAAGTTGGAGAATACCCACCGTGGCTGACAATTTGATGGGCGTTGTTCTTCGCAATTGTCATGGATCTTGTCTTCTTCTGGGAATGGAGTGAGGCACAGCCAAAAAGTGTTGTTGGTGTGCCATGTTATGTTCATTCCCTTCTCTCTTTTGTTTCCCCCTCTCTTCCATGCATTTGTATTCTTCGTGTTTGTCGAGACTGTCGAGATTTAATCATCGCCTAGTCATGAAAGTTAGTTTCCGAGGCTCATCTGTGGCCTTTTATTTTTGGCTGATACATCACTTGACTACGCTCACTCAAGCGGCCAGTTCGGCCCCGTTCGAAGCAACATGGTCATCAGCAACATTCGGTCCCGATGGCCCATGGCAAGCAGTTGAGGTCAACGTTGGCGAAAACTCAAAGGTCGCTCTGTATCCAGGACACACATTCCAGTCTCTCGTCATATCCACAGACTACTGCAAGCTTAACAGTGTTAGGATCACTAGAACCAGTTAGGCGTAGGGAGGAAGCAACAAAGGAGCAGCAAGGTTATATATAAGGAGCAGGTTACACATATTATATAGAGAAGTAGATTTCAGTAATCTATCTTTTAACCCCTAATTATAGTTAGCCTCTATAAACCTCTACTCTATATTATACACCTAATTAATAGTCTAAAATCTCTACCTATAAAGGGGATTAAGCTAGAAGCTTAAAATACTAGCTTAAATATAATATACTAAGAGAGTATAATCTATATAGTAACCTAGTAATAAGGTATTATTATTATTAACTGCTCTAAGCGTTTAAGATAAGTAAGAATAGTAAGACTTACTACCTCTATAATAAAGGGTAAATAACTAATTAACTCTAAAGAGGATATAATAAAAATAGGGGGGTATTACTCCTCTTAAGTAGAAGTAATATAGTAAACCCTTATTAGCTAAGTATACTTAAACCTATAAATAGCTAAATTATACTACTAATAATTAATTATCTAAATTATATAAAGAAGAGCATATACTTAAAGAGGAGATCCTTATTATTATATATAAGGAACGCTTATATAGGAGGTATACTAAGTTAGAGCGCCTCTAGAGCGCCTTAGCTAGCCTAGCACCTAAATTAAGCTATAGTAAGCTTACTTTAACTTAATTTAATACTATATTTAATATTACTAAAGCTTTAATCTTTAGTTATAAAACTATTTTATCTAACCTTACTAAATCTAAAGCTTCTAAGTTATAAGAATAAAGCTAACCTTACTTTATAAATAAGCTATAAGCTACTAGCTTTATACTTACTAAACTTTAACCTTAAAGCTTTAATACTATCTTCTAGTAAGTTTTACTACTTACCTTATTATATTTAAGAGGGTTAATAAGAGATCTATAAAGCTTCCTATTTAATTATAGCTACTAATTTAATCTATAAGCATACTAGATATATACTAATAGTAATAAAGTAATATATATAGTAAGCTATATTTATAGCTATCTTAAGACCTTATAGATATATTATATCTATAACCTCTAAAAAGAGCTAAGCTTCTATATAAGCTAGATTACTTTTCTATAGCTTAAAACCTTTTTATATAATAATTTATCTAACCTTATAAGCTATAGTATAACTACTAATATATATCTAAATAATACCTCCTAAAGGCTTAAAAAGTAGGTTAATAAATTTATAAGTTATATTAATAACCTAAAGCTTAAATTAGACTACTACCTAATAGAGAAGCAGTATATTTTAATACTACTTAGTAAGCTATAGCTATAACTATACTATATTATAACCTTATAAATAATACTTCTATATACCTATAATAAGCTTATCTCCTTAGTATAATATATTAAGCAGTCTTTATTAATATTCTTTAACTAATAGGCTTCCCCTCTAAATAGCCTACTAAGAAGCACCTTACTAACTAAGCAGTAGCTAGCTAATAATACTACTACACCCCTCTAATAGTATAAGTCCCCTCCTAAAAATACTATTTATTATAACTATTATAAATCTAGCTATATAGTAAGAGACTGCTTATACTTAAAAGTATAGCTTTAATAGTACTATAACTATAGTAAAACAAGCTATTTAGCTAATATATATCTAAATATAATATATAGAAAATATAGCTAAAAAAGCTATAAAGCAGCTAATTACTTTATAAACAGCATAGCTCTAGAGCAGCTAGGCTTAGTAATAAACTTTAATACTATACCTATTTATACTATAGATTTATAATAATAAGGGTGCTACTTAGATATCCTAACCTAAGTATAACTTAATAATAATTAAGCAAAACTAAAGGCGCTTATTAACTTAAGATTAGAGGGAAATATTATTAGCTATAGCTTACTTAACGTATTTAAAGCTAATCTATATATCTACCTAGCCTCCTAGCTAGTAAATATAAATAACTAAGAGATCTAAACACTTAGAACCTACTACCTCTAACTAAGAATCTCTAATAGCAATAATATCATAGAGATATAGCTATACTACTTTATTATAGTAGATCTATTAACACCTATACTAATCCTAAGCATCTTATAGTTAGAGGATATTAACCTTCTTATTAGCTAGTAATAATAGTAATAGTGCTATCTAATCTATAAATATTATATCCACTTAGACGCCCTCAAGAAGAAGCTACTAAATAGCTTATAATATGCTATAATAGCTTATATTGCTATTACCTTAGCTATTAACACACCTCTAGCACTATTAAGTAATATAGAGAACTAGTAAGCATACTATAATAACTTTAATAATCTATTTTCAAAAGAGAAAGCTATTTTACTCCCTAAAAGAGCAGCTTATAACTATTATATTAAGCTTAATAACGCTACTCTTATTCCTTAAGGCCCTATCTACCTATTATTAAACTATAAGCTTAAGATCCTATAGGATTACTTAATAAAAGTAGAAGCAAGAGGTTAGATATACCTATTAACTAGCTTAATAGGGGCACCTATCTTATTTATCCTTAAGAAGGGTAGAGAGCTATAGCTTTATATTAACTATAAAGTAATAAATAAGATTATATATAAAAATAAAATACTACTACTACTAATTAGAGAGATTCTAAACTACCTATCTAATATATTAATCTTCACTAAACTTAATCTTAAGAATACTTATTATTAGATATATATCACTAAAGGTAATAAGTAAAAGACTACCTTCTATATAAAGTATAGCTAGTTTAAGTACTTAGTTATCCTATTCAGCTTAACTAATATATTAGCTACCTTCTAAATATATATTAATAATATTCTAAGCAACTTAATAAACACTATATATATTATATACCTAGATAATATCTTAATATATAGTAGTAGTTATAAAGCATATAAGGAATATATATATAGTATACTTAAATAGCTTTATTAGTAGAACTTATACTTAAATAGTAATAAATATAAGTTTCACACTTTATATATAAGCTTCTTAAGATATATTATATTAAATAAAAGGATTAAAATAGAGTTAGTATATATTAAAGCTATAGTAAACTAGCTACTATTACGTAGTATTAAGGATATCTAAACGTTCTTAAGCTTCACTAAGTTCTATAAATAGTTTATATTAAACTATATTAAGATCACTATACTATTAATAAACCTACTTTAAAAAGTAAAGCTAAGAGAAATTAATTTGCTACTAAGCGCTATTATAGTATTTAAGACGCTCCTTAAAGTATTCACTAAAGCACTTATACTACAGCATTTTAATCCTATACTACTAATAAAGCTATAAATTAATACTTCTATATAAGCGATTAAGGTAGTAATCACTTAGCTATTTAAGAGCTATTAGCACTTTATTATATTTAGATCGTAAAAGTTAATAGATATAGAGAGCTACTATAAAATAAGAGATATAAAGCTTTTTATTATTATAAACGCTCTAAGGAACTAATAGCATTATTTAGTATATAGTAAAAACTATATTATAGTGTTTATAAATTACTTTAACTTATAGTTTCTTAATATAAAAAAGAAACTAAATAGTAAGTAGCTATACTAGCTTAATAAGTTAATAGCTTTTAATATTAATATTAAGTTTAAACTAAGAGTAAAGAATTTAGCAGATAGGCTTTTATAGAGACCTAACTATAGCTTTATACACTTTAAGGGAGGAGCTTAAGAATTACTTAAGGATATAAGAATATAGCTATTAAGCGTAAAAGCTATATAGGAGCTACTTATTATAGTAGTAATATCTATAAAGTATTACTATAAGAGTAGCACTAAAATTAAGGTTATATAGTTACTATAGTAGTAAAGTAAATAAAGGAGGGTAGGAGCTCTAGCTTAAGATATAAGCTCTAAAAAGCCACTTAAGAGGTATAATAGAGCTATAAACTTAAGGCGTTAAAGTAATAGTATAATACTTAAAGAGATATTTAAGCTTACTACTAAAACTATAAATTATAAGCTACTTATTCTATAAGACTATATTAAAGATATAGCGCTTAAAATAGCTATTAAAAAGGGTTAGATATTAATAATAAGCTAATTACTAATAGCCTAATAAAAAGACGCTTTTATTAAGGAACACTAATAAGCTAAGAAGCACTAACGCTTATAATAAGCTAAAGGTTACTAGCAGAGAAGCTAAGGATATAATACGCAAAAGTTACTATATTTTAGTAATTATATATATATTCCTATATACCACAGCATCTATTAGGAGGTTATTAAGAGGTGCTATAATATACTAATAGCAAGGTATTATAATATTAAGCAGATATTAATGCTACTTAAGAGATATTACTATTAAGACTTAATAAGTAAGGATATTAAGGCTTATATTAATACTTATATAGTATACTAGAGAATAAAACCCTACTATTATCACCTTTATAGGTTATTATAGCTCCTATTTATACTATAACAGCCTTAATAAGAGATCTCCCTTAACTTTATTACTAGATTACCTATATTAATAACACTCCTAAGCTATAAATCTTATAATACTATCTTAATAATAGTTAATTAGCTCACTAAATATAGTATATATATTACTATATACTTAACGCTTACTACCTAAAGCCTTATTAATCTATTATTCACTAAGATCTTTAAGATATTTAGCATCCCTAAAAGCATTATCTCTAATAGGGGATCACTCTTCACTAATAAATTCTAAATATACCTCTACTACCTCTTAGCTATTAAGAGGCAGCTAAGTATAGCTTTCTACTCTTAGATAAACAGCTAGATAGAACAGCAGAACTAACACTTAGAGCAGTACCTATAGTACTTCTATATATAAGACTAATCAGATTAAGCGTAATAACTTCACCTTATATAATTTATATATAATAACACTTAGTATTTAGTAATATAAGTAACACTAATAGAGGCCCTTTTTAGATTTCTACTAATTAGTCTTATAACTATAAAGCTTAATATAAAGCTAACTACTAAGAATGCTATAGCAGCTAACTATATAGAACAACTTCATACTAACTAAGAAGCCCTTAAGCCCCTACTACAGTATATATAATAGGTATACGTAACTTAAGCTAATAAAATATAAGTCTATAAAGCTTATAAGGTTAGAAACTTAATATTTCTATCTAAAAAACATATTTAGAGATAGCAACCTAACTAGAAGTTAGCTAATAAGTATCTAAGACCTTTTACTATCTTAGTAATTATAGAAATATTAAGAGTAGCTTACTAATTAGATATTCCTAGCTAATATTAAATTTATAATATCTTCTATATATCCCTCTTAGAGCTATATAATCACTATAATAAAGCATTATACTAACTACTACCTATTAGTAATATTAATAATAAACCTCTATATAAGGTTAACTATATTATAAACTATTAAAGCTTTAAGAAAAAAAAGTAATACTTTATTTAATAATAGGGGTATAATATTAATAAAGATATATAAGAGCTAGAATATTATATTAAGGATATAACGCTAATATAGTATTATAAAGAGGTAATATTAATTAAATAATAGTTATAGAGAAACTATATAGTCTATAGTTAGTAAGTAATATAGAAGTTATACTAATTAACTTTCTACTTAACTATCTATAAACTTTAAAACCTAATCCCCCTAATAATATAGTAGCAGCATAAAAGTAGTATAAGAGTAACTTTTAAGTAGTAAGTAAAGTATTATAAAGTCTCCTCTTCCTCCTCACTCTCCTCCTCCTCTCTTTCTTCCTCTTCTTCCTCCTCTTCTCTTTCTCCCTTAATATAAGTAAAATAGATATATTATAATAATAAGTTAGCTAAGTTCTCAAAAAGTATAAATAATAATATATAAAGTAAACTACTTATTAAATCTTATTAAGAGTAATAACTATATAGCTAAAAAGTATAATAAGAGTAATATTAAGAAAAGTAAAGTTCTCTATAACTATAATTATATAAGCTAAGAGCTACTTAAAAGTAGAGCTAAAAATAAATATAAGAGTAGTACTAATAATAAAAGTAAGAGTAATAAGAATAAGAGGTATAAGAGTAGTACTAATAAGATCTTTAAACTTAATCTTAGCTTAAAGAGGGGGCATAATATATATAAAAGTAGAGTTATAGCAAGAAAGCACCTTTAGTATATTACTAATAATAACTTAGTAATCCTCTTAAACTTAGAGGAATTAGTAAAAGAATATTATAAGAATAACTAGAGAGCTATAACTTACCTCTAAGTTATAAATATTATTATTAAAAGCTTCTATAGTATCTTAGAGGTTATTAATAGCCTCCTCAGTAAAGTTAAAGATCTAAAGTAATTAAGATACTATAAGGAAGTAATAAGGAAGCAGCATACTTATACTACTAAGATAGGTATATCTATAAGAAGTATACTCTATATAGTAAACACCTTTACCTAAAACTATTATTAGTATTATAATAAAATAGTAATATTATAATATATACCTATTTAATTATAGCACTTAATATTAAGGTTAGCTGCTTTACGTCTAACATAAGTAATATAATATATATAACTAACCTAAGCACTACTAACCTTAATCACTTTTATAACCTTCTTTCTTTTCTTCTAAGAAGTAAGCTAAATAATAATAAATAAAAGTAGCATATATATAAAGAGCATATATATATTAAGGTAAGTAAAGTTAGATAGAGGGCGCTTACTACTACTATTACTATTAAGGTTAGGGGATAGGGGGGCACTAAAGGCAAGAACAGTAGATATAATAAGACTAGCTAGTAAGTTAGTAGTATAAAAGAGAGAAAGATATAGTAATAATATATCTTAAGAACTACTATATAAATAAAGATCTAATAATATAAATAATTAGTAGAGAAGATATAATAATAATATAAAAAAGGTAATAAGTAAAATATATAAAGTTATTCTTAAATAAGGAAAAAAGAGGAAAGGAAATAAGAAAGTATATATTAAAGAGGAAATAATTATTAGCCTTAAAAAATAAGTTATATTAACCTTAAAAAGTAAGTTAACTGCTAACTTAAAAGCAAGAGATATTATAAAGGAAAGTATAATTAGTTAAAAAGTAAAGGTATTAATTAGGCATAAATATACCCTTAACAGCATAAATATAACCTATATATAAGGCTAGTAAGAATAATAACTATAGGGCAGCCTAATATCACATTCATCTTTAAAGACAAAGCTCTTAGGATAAGGGCGCCCTATCAGGATCACTAGAACTAGTTAAGCATAGGGAGGAAACAACAAAAGAGCAGCAAGGTTATATATAGGGAGCAGGTTACACACATTATATAGGGAGGCAGATTTCAGTAATCCATCTTTTGACCCCTAACTGCAGTTAGCCTCTGTGAGCCTCCACCCTGTGTCACACACCTAATTGACAAACAGCTCCAACGGTTGCTATGCATCGAAAGCAGGGACGTATGACCGAGCGCAAGCCTTTCAAGATGGTACCGGATCTGCGTCTGGAATTCAGTACAAACCACCGCTCTACGAATGGATGGCTGGGATGGACGTTCGTGGCACCTTGCCTACCTCCTGGGTGGATTCAATAGCGTTAAAGTCAGCCGCAACTTCTGGGCCGACACATCAGGTCGAGAATGTCAGTTTGACACTGGTGGAAAGCCAAATGATCGCGTATCCCGGCGGTACATGGTATCCTGCTTTTGTTGGGTGCCTAGGCACTGGGGCTGCGGCAACTGTCAATCAGTCCTTCACAACATCATCGTATCCCATTAATGCCAGCCTGATACCTGGTGCGCTCTGGTTCAACGACAAAATACCTTCCAACTCGTTCAGCATGCATATTGGATCGGTCTCTTCGCAGATGGCGGGATCTCTCTGGTTTGGCGGATACGATCAGAACAGGTTGATCGGGGACGTTTTGGTGGCAGACGAGGACTTCGTTCGGAGTCCAATAACTCTCAAAGATATCGCTATTGATGTCATACAAGGAGCTTCGCCGTTCGAATTCACCGCCAAGAGTGGTCTCTTAGCCGCAGGGAATACCTCTATCGCCAACGGGCTCCCGGTGGCTGTTGATGGATGTTCCCCGTACCTTACTTTACCAAGATCAACCTGCGACAACATTGCTGCGAATCTCCCGGTTACTTTCAACGCCGATCTCGGGTTGTATATCTGGGACGCAGAGTCTACAAAATATCGCCAAATTGTTTCGTCAGCATCAGCATTATCTTTCACCTTCCTCTCCGACTCGAACACGAAGACGACTACGGTCCGTGTGCCGTTTTACCATCTCAACTTGACGCTATCCGAACCCCTCGTCGATTCACCGATGCAATACTTTCCTTGCTTTACTGGCGGCCCTGGCACATACAACTTAGGTCGAGCGTTTCTCCAGGACGCGTTTCTCGGTGCAAATTGGGGGCAGTCTAAGTGGTGGCTTGGTCAGGCGCCTGGACCCAACATCCAGCTGTCTCCAAGCGTCATTGAGATTACCGAAGATGATGTTTCCATCAAAAGTGGCAGCAATGATTGGGAACGATCGTGGGAGGGAGCTTGGAAGGCCTTGACCGAAGACGAGGCAAACGGCACCACTACCGTAGAACCTCCCGTGCAGTCTGGCGTGTCGAGCAATGACGGTCAGAAAGAAGACTCTGCTGTTCTTTCAACGGGAGCCAAGGTAGGCATCGGTTTGGGTTGTTCTGTGGCAGCGCTTGCTGGTTTTGGCGCGTTGGCCTTTTTCTACTATCGACGGAGGAAAGCAAAAACTGTAATATTGGATCAAACGGTCATGGCTGAATATCAGAAGGGCCCTGCAGAGATGTATGGCTCTTCCCCTAGCGATATGACACCTATGAGTGAGCTTGAATCGCGGCCAGTGCCAAAACAAGCATCTCATGATCCGGTGGAGTTGCCGTAGTATTGCCAGTAAGGCAGTAACTCTGGGATTTATCTTCTTCATCTCTTCATCCCATCATCTTCTTTTTAACGTAATACTTCAGGTCGGCAGACTTCTAGTATTACTAGCTGAGTTGTGCCGATTTATGACTGTTGCACAGTCATTCCTACTTTTATTCATCCTGCAGCGGTCACTTAGTCCAGCTGCAATTGACAACGTTGATCATAATGAGTATATCCTGAGTCGAGTCAATTGTCATATGGTGTGTACAAGTTCTTTATGCACTAGCTTGAAGCCTCTTCAGCTCTTCCTCCTTCATCCGCTCTTGAATCTTAAGTCTCTCTGGAACGACTCTCTCCCTAGGCGACGTGATACCCCACTCAGGCAGTGACTCTGCCCCCAAAGCCCTCAAAGTTGCCTCCTCCACCAAGCTGAACTTTGATCCATGCGGTCGATGAAACCGATGCGGTTCTTTCAGTGACACAGGCGGGTTTGTGATAATACGCAACTTCCGTAGCTGATTTCTCGACGCGCTGTGCAGCATCAATGGATGGAGGAGGTACACGTCGCCAACCTGCCCAACAGCTTCGACAAACTCCCCGCAGCTCTCAGCAAGCGAGTTGAACCAATTTAGGTTCCTCTCTGCGGCAAAGTCGGGATGACCCCGTGGCACCATCCGTGGCGAGACCCCGTCCGGATGTTCGTACAAATGCTTCGCAACCTTTGGAATCGCTTCGGGGCAAATCACAGTCCCGCCGCCGCCAGGGACGATGTCCGTGAAAAGGGGTATGACGAGCAAGCCCTGTTCCGCGGAGTCGAGGTAATGAACGAAGAAATCGCCGTCCACATGCCAGTTGTCGAGGTCCTTGGGGTTCTGTTCTTGCCCCTCGAACTCGGGGCTGCCAAGATTCACGATGAGGGAGTCACGCCAGTGTTTCGAGTCGGGTGCGATGCGGTCTTCACCGCCGCAGACTTCGCAGATGGCGGCCCAGGCTTTCGGTGCGAATTCGGAGCAGTCGAACGTGCGGTGGGAGGGCATATTTGTGCGGTGCTTCCAGGTTGACTTATCGTTTGGGTCCATGCCCAGACGGGTCCAGACGTCTTTTGTCACCCAATCTGCCTGCTCTTTGGTGAAGCAATTGCTTAGCTTCAGCCAGCCGGTGGTCCGGAAGTGCTCTTTCTGGGCTTCGGTGAGAGGTTCTGCTATCGGAGACATGGTTTTGGAATGAAAGGGAGCAGACGAGAGAAATCAATAAACCGCAGGGGCGGGAGAATATGCTTGATTGATATAGACCCCCACTCAGGAGCTGGGGACCAGCATCGAGTCCCTCGAACGGGAGCGAGGAGATGCGGGGTCCGGGATAAGGTATGCAGAAGTAGTCAATTAAGCCGCGTCTGATTGGATTTGTTTCAAGACTTTCAGACTCCAGAAAAGACCAAATTTCACGCAAAACTTTGAAAGACGTCAACGCAAGCAGTGCTCGGAAGAAAGATGCCGTCGTGAGGGTTCACATGTAGTCAATAACTTCGACGGTTTTGAAGCTACAAACGGCCGCGCCGGCTAAATGGGAATTCTATGGGTCTCTTGCCGATCCCCCACCTAGAAGAAAACCCAAAAGTTTAACGGCCTTCAATGTGAAGGACGAGTCTAGTTCGGGAGATAATGGCAGAAATGCCGAGTCATCCAAGTGCAGGTTGGGGGTAGCCCATCATAAGTCGTCGAATTAACCACGAATTGGTGATTGGTCATTGACCGACCCACTCACCGAAAGCTCGGTCAATCAAATGCCGACACCAACCGACCAAATCTTTCAGGTCGACAAACATCACCAGCCTAGCTTCTACACCCCCGAAACCCCAGACCCTCAAGATGCCGCCAGACCCAACGATCGACGACGAGGAATACGAGTCCTCCCAAGACTCTGACTTCGCGCCCGAAGACGCCGCCGGCGCCGATGGCGGTGCCGAGTCTGAGGCAGAGGACTCTTCCGACTCCGACTCCGAAACCGCGAAGACCAGCAAGCGCAAACGCGACGCCGCCGCGGGCGATGAGGCAGACGATGCGGGATTCGAGAACTCGGGCGACGAAGCGCTGATCAAGAAGGCGAAGAAGAAGCGCAAGAAGGCGAGAGGCGGCGATGGGGCGCCGGACGGGGATGACGAGGGCGGCGAGGGAGGGCTGGTGAAGACGCGGAGCATGCGCGCTGCAGAGTGAGTTGTCGCGTCGCTCTGAGTTACTCAATAGGCCTCGAATGCTGACTTGGTGCATTAGAAAAGTAGAGCGAAAGATGGCTGCTGCTACCGGGCCGGTGACGGTCGACGTCGACGCGATTTGGGCGCAGATGCTCGCGGGGCAGACGACGACGCAACCGAGCCAAGAACAGGGCGCCGGAGAAGCGGACGCCACCGCGCAACCTTCCGGCACAACAGACGCGCAAAAGCAAACCGACGCACCGGAAACCGAGCCCTCAGATATGATCCGCATCAAGCGAACGTACAATTTTGCCGGAAAAGTGCAGACAGAGGAGAAGCTCGTGCCGCGCGACTCGGCCGAGGCGAAGCTCTACCTTGCCTCGCTGGGCAAAGACGCACCCGCTGACGAAGCCGCCGCTGAGCCGGAAGAGCCAAAGAGGGTTCTGAAGAAGGCATTCCGTTCGGCGTTTGAGCCCACCATTGAAATCGTCGGGCAGCGGTCTGACTTGAACCTGGGCATGACGGTGCGGATCAAGGCACGCGAGAAGCAGGCGCAGGCGAAGAAGCTCAACACGGTCGAGAAGAGCAAGATGGACTGGGCCGGGTACGTGGACAAGGAGGGTCTCAAGGACGAGTTGGAGCTGGCGGGTCGGTCCAAGGAGTCTTACGCTGGAAGGCAGGACTTTTTGGCGCGCAGCGAGGCCAAGAGGGAGGAGGAAGCCCGGCGGGCGAGGATTTCGGGGCGTGTATGAACACTTTTATATGGATATTGGATGGCTTTGGCTAGGCGTTTGTCTACGGCAGATTGGAAGAAGAGATACCCCTTGCTCACACAGATGACTACATTCTCGCTGTCCCTCTTTAACTACAGCTTCGTGTCCTTCCTCTGTGACCCGGGCGGCAGAATCGCAATGTCCTGAAACGGGACGCCCAAGAACTCGTACAAGAAATGGAACCTGTCGCTGCCGAAGAAAGGCTCCTCCTTGCCCTCGTCGTTAACGGCCCAGAACCACGGCGCGCCGAACGCGCCCCTTTCAACCGCCTCCTGCGTCTTGGCCTTCACCGCGTCCTTGATCTCCTGCGTCGCGGTGCCCTCCATGATCTTCTTCACATCGGCCTCGCTGAACAGCTTGGCCTGGGCTCCCGCAGGTGGCGGGTACTCCTGCGGCGCGTCGGCCAGCGCTTTGACCAGGACGTCGGGCTTGGTGAGGTTCAAGTTAGGCGGCTCCCAGAAGCAGTGCAGGAGCCAGTGCCAGGCTGTCTGGTAGGTCGAGTCTGGGTAGGTCTTTTTGATGAAGTGCAGGGCGCGCAGGGGCAGGATCGTCATGCTGCGGTCCATGAAGTCTGGGGGCGTGGTGATGTCGGGTTTGCCGACGCGGATGGAGGAGCGCCGGGCGTCATGAGTGCCATACTTGGCCTTTGCGGGGAGTGTCCATGGCGGCTTGTTTCCTGCGACGATCTTAGTGAAGGCAGACCTGAATGGAAGGGGGCTGACGTACCGGATGCCGCGTTGATGCCGCCGAGAAGCACGGGATGGAGGCTGCCGGCCGATGAGAGGTGAGACAAAGGTTAGGAAGTGAGGGATGGGAACGGACTCTAGCTTGACACCATGTGCGGCGAGAGCACCCTGGTTCTTGATGATGTAGTAGAACGCGATGTAGCTGTACAGCGATGCTTGGTCGCCCACTTAGTCTCACAGGCTTATCTGCTGCACACCGAGACTCACCGATATCAATGTACATATCTACTTTGCCGCCCATCTTGGCGACGCAGGACCGAACTATTTTTTCGACAGGCTTGGTCTTTCTGGACGAATGGTTTCGAGAACGCGATGGATAACCCCGACAGTCGCGATGTCGCAATCGCTCAAAGTGGGAAAGTTGTTAAATAACCGGGTGATGTGGTAGGTATGAGGTGAAGTCGCCAGAGTGGGGTTACATCCTCGGCACAGCTGGAATCTGGGGAAGCTCCTTGCTCCGGGGTGGATGATCACTAATACACATCACCGACAACCGACGACGTGCGACGCGACAAATCGAAGTAATCAAGGCCGAGAATGTTCAAATTCTAACTCTAAGAGAAGAAATCTTGTGCTTTGATCTTGAAAGACCTTCAAAACCCCATCAGTTCAAGCGGTTAATAGTGCCATTCCCACAATCCATTATCTTTCATACACAGCAACCCCTGCCAAGCTCAGACTTTAGTTGTCAAGATGGCCTCACCGAAGCAAGTCGCTCTCGTCGTAGGCGCATCAAGAGGCATAGGACGTCAAATCGCCATTGATCTTGCAAAAAGTGGCTACGCCGGTACACCTCCTTGGCATTTACCCAGCTTCCTCACGACCGCTAACAAATTCCACAGTCGTCGTAGCCGCAAAGTCAACAAGCGACGCTTCTAAAGTCTCACCCTTCCCACCAGACCCGAACTCACAAGCTTCGACGATCAGCACCGTAGCCCGCGAAATCCACGAAGCCGGCGGCGACGCAACACCCATAGCCGTGGACGTCCGTGACCAGGAGAGCATCACGCGACTCGTCGACCAGACAATCCAGGTACGATCCAAAACGTTTACTAATCCGCTAAATCTCAACTGCCGCACAATCACAGCTCACCCTTCACCACATAGATATACTCCCGTCTCGACGTCCTAGTCTACAACTCCGGCGCAATCTGGTGGGCCTCCGTGGAAGACACGCCCCCCAAACGCTTCCAGCTCATGCAGCGCGTCAACCCAGAGGGCCTCTACCTCACCCTGCACGCCTGCCTCCCGCACCTAGAGCGCGAGGGCGCCGGCCGCATTGTCGTGGTCAGCCCGCCCATCTACAGCCGCTTCTTCCGCGGCAAGACGGCATATGCCATGGGCAAGGTCGGCATGAGCGTCTTGACTAAAGGTCTAGCCATGGATTTCGTGAGGCAGGGGTTGGACCGGATGGCCATCACCAGCATCTGGCCCGCTGTGGTATGTTGTCTCCTTTATTGCAATCAAGTCCTCGGCGGTGTATAAGATATTCACCTATCTGCAATTTCTAGGCAATCGAATCCGCAGCCACGCAAAAGTTTCAGGCGTCAAATCCAGACGAGGCCAAGGACCTGCGTAAACCCACCATCTTCTCAGATGCGGTGCTTGCTATCGTGCGAGCCCCGGCGGGTGTCGTGAATGGCGAACTCGTGCTCGACGAAGACTTCTTGAGAGACCACGCGGATGTGACGGACTTCTCCAAATATGCCCTCGTGCCTGGATCAAGTCCGCGTAGGATTATGCCTGCAGAGCTCCCGGACTTGACCGTCAAGGAGCAGGATGATGAGGGGAAGAGGTACAGCAGTGCAAAAGCAAAGATATGAAAGAAGTACCTCACTGTCCCAGACGTGATGTTGATGCAACTATTGTCTATTGCCTGCCGCGCTACGCAGTCAGGATGCGGTGCTTCTCGGTATAGTGTACTTTATCAAAGAAAATGAGGTCGTCCTGTCGCTCGCAAACTAGTAGACCCTTTCCGTGTCCCCTTTTCCCCTCGCCAGATCCTTCTCTCCGCAATGCCGAAAGAATGTTTTGAAAAACCAAACAACAAATGTACTATTTTTACAAACCCTTCGCAACACCATCTCCCCTCATTTTATACCTCCTGGCTCTGCTGGAAGAGCCCTTGGATGTTTTCGATGTCGCTTATCGTCTCATTAAACACCTTGGTGAGGTCTCCAAGAACCTTCATACGGTTCCACTCATGCCTCGTGCGCCAGATTTCATCCATCAACTCGCGGTTGATCTGCTCGAGTTGCTCAATGGTACAGCCCGATGTCCCCTCGGTCAACTCGTCAAGGAAATTCTCAACCTGTTCCTCGTGAATCACAGGCTGTTGCTGCGACAAGGACGAGCCGGAATTTCGAATCTCTTCGCCTGGCGAGTCGTTCAGGATGTTAACCAGAGTCGGGGCATGCGACTTGGAATCACCCGAGCTTCTAGACTTGTTAGGTGATGAGTTCTGGCTACCTGGCCCGCCCATTGAGGGACGTATGACACCGCGCGCGATGCCTTGGGCCTGGGAGTGTGGCCAAATTTCGTCGCTCGAGGTGGCCTGGCTAGCCTGCATGCCGGCTGGGATCTGCGTGTCTTGCAGCTGAGAATTATCGCCCTGGCTCTGCTGCTCGCCGTGCACACCATTAGTGCCTTGTGTCCACTTCTCTCCCGACGATCTTTGAGACGGATCTGACGTCTTAGTCGTTGACGCATCGTTCAGTAGATCTGAAGGAGACATGCCAGGAGGCACCGTGGTGATCATTGACTTCTGAGAAACCACGGTTGTGCCGGTTATCGCGCCCGTTGCTTGGTTGCCCTGTGCCGGCCACTGGGGAGGCTGCATAGATGAGCTGTCCTGGGTGGTGTCATCATCGACCCCGCTCATGTGAACGTCGCTTTGCCGTGATGGGTTGGACGTTCCATTGCTCTGGGGAGGAACAGCAGGGCCGCCGCTAGGTCCCGGGCTCATAACCTGGAAGCGAGCCATGGCATGAGAAGAGCCAGGGATGCGCTCGCCCAAGGTGACAGGTCCTTGAGAGTCGCTGTCATTACCCCCGGCTGCATCAGTTTGGACGCGATCGACGATGGACTGCATAGCCTTCCTCTTTCTCTCCTTCTCGGCTGCAGCTCTGGCACGTTGGACTTGTCTCTGGTACAGAGACTCCCAGTCCACGGTGGCTGTGTTGCCTTCGATAGTCGCGACATCAACCTCGACATTGCTTACAAGCTCGTTCGCCTTCAACGTGCGCTCCTTGTCGCCGATGTTCTTGGAGTCCCTCGCAAGAGATTTTATGTCTTTGAGGAAGTCCTTAGGACGGCAGTAGTACCCGTTTGAAAGACGCTCCTCAATGGTCGTGGTTTCCAAGTTCGAGAACGTCTTGCCTGTGGCCGTTTCGCGAAGCACGTCATCGCCGTATTTATCCTTCACAATCTCGAATGGCCGAGGCTCGACACCTGCCAGGTCGGGGCGCACGAAGTTAATTTGGTTCTCGGCGAAGAGGTAGTCGAGTTGGCTCTGTGGAATGACGGGCTGTCTGAACTTTTTGTACTTTCTGTTGATCTGGTCCATGATTGGTTGAAGTTGTACTTTAAGAATGTTGAGAAGCTGATGATCGCGCTTCTGCATGGCCTTGACTTCTTCCTTTGAAGGCACCTTGGGCGGTGGCGGCGGAGCGACTGGGAGCTGGTCCAAGATCCTCTTCTTTCGGTTGACGGGATCAGGGAATTCGGCCGGGCTCTTGCGGACATGCTCCACGATTGTAGAGAAGTATTCGCGTCGGTTGGGCTTGGTCATGTTAGTCAGTGCCTAGTTATAAAAAGAGAAGCGCAAGTACTCACATGCTTGGGCCGCTCGATCTGAAGCCGGTTCTTGCGAGAAAATGCAAACAGCTCTCGGACGAGGGCTTGAGAAAGGTTCTCGCCAGCCTCATACTCCGAAGTCGCTAGCAACAAGATAGGATCCGTTGGCGGAATCGACTTTAGCATGGCCTTGAAGGTCATGAACGGCAAGCTATCCCGCAGTGATGCGTACCAAGACTCAATGCCAGGAATGTAGATGACACTGGGCTTGTGTCTCTTGACTTCCGTAAAAAGGCCAACGATGACCTGTTCCATGGGCTACAAATAGGTTAGTACAAATACCACAAAAAGAGAAAAGATGAACTTACCCGTCCATCAGCGAGCAAATTGGGAAGGCCGAAGTTTTGAACCTGGACACCCTCGAAGTAGTGAAGAAGCGCAGATGACAGGTAACTCTGGCCCATGCCGGCAAACCCATGGATCAGGAAGCGTGGGCGGAACACACGAGATCGCTCGAACTCTTGATGCATGGCCTCGCGTCCAAACCCATGGTCTTCGTCGTCAAACTGCTCGTACATTGCCTCCTCGAGCGCTGTTAGCTTTTTCTTGCGAGGAAGGACCTCGTCGAGAGCCTTCTTGATAGAGTCGAATTGATCACGCAACAGTGGCTCGATTCCCTTGGGCAGCGGAGCTGCGCCTGTGCCAGCAGATCTTTCTGAAGAGGGCACCATCTTCTTGATAGAGATCATGAAGTCGGTGGCATGAATGCTGATGTTTTCGGGGTTGACGATAAGCTTGTCTTTTGAGGAATAAATCTGTGGGTACGTTCGTTGGATGGCATTGAGAGCAGCCTCAGTGCAAAGTGCTCGGAGGTCGGCACCACCATAACCCTTGGTGTTCTCCGCAAGCGATTGCTTGAAAGGTTCTGAAAGACCCCAATCCTTGGTGTGAATCTCGAGAATGGATCGACGGCCCTCTACGTCAGGAAGAGGGAAGTAGAACTCTCGATCGAATCGACCAGGTCTTCTCAGCGCAGGATCGATGTTGTCTGGACGGTTGGTGGCTCCGATGACGATGACCTGTCCTCGGCCATCCATACCATCCATCAACGCCAAAAGCGTTGACACGATCGACGCGTGAATCTGCTCCTGTTTACTAGAACGTACTGGAGCCAGACCATCGATTTCGTCAAAGAAGATGATACTTGGTTGCGTTCGTCTGGCTTCCTCAAACAGCAGCCGCAGCTGCTTCTCGGCTTCACCAACCCACTTGCTCAGGGCATCGGCTCCCTTGCGCATGTAGAAGGTGATCTTGCGGCCACCAATACCAACAGAGTTGGCGAGGGCACGGGCGAGAAGAGTTTTACCGGTACCAGGAGGACCGTGGAAGAGGACGCCTCGCGGGGGTGTGACGTGGAACTTTTGGAAGAGCTCGGGGTACAGGAGAGGTAACTGAACCATTTCCTTCAGCTGGTCGATGTGACCTTGGAGACCACCAACTTGGTTGAAGTCCACGTTAAGGTCGACACCAAGAGGATCGGCATCAGCGAGGGCCTTTGTGTTTTTAACCTTGCCGACGTTGGGCGTTGCGCCGACACCAGCACCTTCACCACCCACAGGCTGCGCGAGACCAGGGAGCAGGCCACCTGGAGCAGCAGCCGACGTGGGAGTCATGCCAACATTGCCGGCGGCGGCAGAACGTCCACCCATCTCATCGTCACTGCTGTCGGAGTCAACACCTCCAGCAGCGCCGGTGCCCCAAGGTCCAGCGAGAATGGAACCTGCACCGCCTCCGCCTCCAAAGGGACCAAAAGTCGTGTTGAGAGCGCGGTCCCATGCTTGACTGGCGCCTCCACGTCCGTTACGGCGCCGTGCAGGGGTCGGGGCGGGGTCCTCACCATCGTCTTCCTCTATGTTAACGGCGGAAAGAGGAGGCATGAAGTAGTTCATTGGCTTTGCTGCGGCTCTGCGACGCTTCGACGCAGTTTCTTGGTAGATGATTGCGGGTGAAGGTCGCCTTGTGCGGCGGGAGCGCGAGTCTTGTCGAAGTTCGTGCAGCTCCTCGGCAAGCTCATCATGGTCTAGCTCGACTTCATCCCCGGACTCGGCCCCACGGCGCGAGCTTCGGGTGGATCTGCCCTTGGGCTTAGCAGCTCTACCGCGCGGGGCCGGGCTGTCAAAGTCGCCATCTTCAGCATCGGCGGAATTCTTCTTGGTGGGCGATTCGTCAGACATGTGCGCGTCTTCCGCCGACTCTTCACCGGGCTCAAAATCGCTACTGGGCTCTTGGAGGGATTTCGACTTTCGAAGTCCACGGCGAGTGAGACGTCGTGTTGGGGCGTCGCCATCAGTGGGTTCCTTGGGGTCTTCCTCAGGTTCCGCAGCTGAAGGTCCAGATGCACTTCCCCTCTTAGCTCGGGTTCGCCGTGTGATTGGACCCTCGTCCTCTTCATCGTCATCATCAGCTGCAGCATCGGGATCCACCTCGGTCGATTCTTTGATGGCATCTTCCATTACCGCATCCTTGCTATCGACAACCTCCTCGGTGTCTGCAGCCACTGGCTCTGCATCACCGGCCAACTCATCGGCATCGGCGTCATCGTCGCGACGGAAGCTGCTCTCCTGAGTTGCTTCCTCAATCGTGTCTGGTGCCTTCTTCAGTCCCTTAACTGAGCGGGAGTTGCGAGTGCGAGCGAACGTTTCCGGGCTTCGACTCTTAGAAGCACGCTGCATATGCCTGCCCGAGTTTGTCAACTCAACATGCTCTTCCTCGACCTCGGCTGTCCGGGCGCGGGTAGATCTCCTAGTGACAGGTGCAGCAGAAGCCGGATTCTTGGGCACCTTCAGCTTGATCATCAAGGATTCCTTCTTCTTCTTGGGCTTGGCGTGGTCCTCGGAAAGCTCGTCTTCGGATGCTTCAGCTTCTTCAGACTCAGACTCGCTTTCACTCTCCTTGTAGCTGTTGTGCTTTGTTGCGGCCTTCCTGGAACGGCGACCGGCGGCGTTGACGGGGAGATCTTCTTCCTCCTCCTCGTCTTCCGAGACGAATGAGCCCTCTGCCATACTATCAGAGACATCCTCATCATCGTCGTCGATGTCAGATCCACGATACTTGTTCGTGCGTCTTCGGCTGCCGCCGCCTCCACCGCCAGAGCTCTTCGACTTTGAGCCGCGCGATCGCTTCTTGCTTCGTGCGGGTGGCTGGTCGGTACCGGGCTCGAAGTTCTCGTCATCGGAATCCGACTTGTTAGGATCGAAGTCCTCGATGTCGCGCTTACGTTTGGACGGCATCGTGGTGTGGGTGGATTATTAATGGCAGGTGCGGATCGGTTGTGCTTTCGCGTTCTGATTGTTGTGCACGCTGGTTGGCGATGAGCTGCTGCTGCCTGTTGTCGCGAAGAAGTCTGTTTACGCGGTGTCAGCATCCACATGCACTCGAGTATCATCAAAAAAGTGTCTGAGATGGCGAAGGTATCAAGTTGATCTGTATTGGGGCTATTGGGAGGTTGGTGGATGCAAGGAAGGCTCACCTCTGTCTTAGCGCTCAGGGAGAAAGCAAGAACAATGGAAGCGGACGTCAGGTGGTGGTGCAGCAGTGCGCCATTGGGGTTGCGACGATGCAAACGCGAAAAGTCAAGGTGGCCTTGATGTCTGCGACGTGCGTCGTTGGCGATCCCGGGCTGCGTGGAGATGGGCTTGACCACAGGCTGGTGATAGGTTCAGATTCGCAGAAAAATCACCATCGCGCGTTCCACGTCTTGCGCGCCAGGCGTTCACACTCTTGGGCGAGAAGGACGGGGAGTCAGTAGAGTGGGTCTCACGTGCAGACACCAGCCACAAGTGGTCCGAGCGGCGCTTCTTTCTACCTCTGAGGTTGCCATTTCAAGCAGCAGCCATTGGCTGGACCCATTTTTCCGCAGTTCAACGGGAAATCTTGGGGGCCTCAGATTCAACAATCGCGCATCTCTGATACCAAATTCTCTCGATCCGAAGTAACTTGGTCGGCATGTGTATTGCGTCTGCTCAAGCATCGTCAGTGTCCTGTCAACCGATTTTCGTCTCGACCTACCGCAAGTCTGAAGCATGTCAATCACCGTGCAAGGATTGACGGTGCTCATCGGCGCGCGAGGTTAAAAAAAGTCGGGCCCGGGGTAAGTGGGCGTCGAGTGTCCACCACAAAATGTCGCGTTGTCGCGACCACGGTACCACTCGAGGACAGCAAGAGACTGGTATTACTGAGATGAAGTGCGACTCTGGTCGAGTGCATCTGATCTGCCGAGGGGGATGCAAGGCGGGCCGCCGAGACCTCACACCGACTTCGTGGGCATGCGGACTGCGGCGCAGATATCTGCGAAACATCGAACGATGAACGGCAATGATGTCATTTCAGATTGTTCCTCGTTGTCGGGCCTCAGTTTGCGCCGTCTCTGACTGCGGTGCGGTTTCCAGCTCTCGAAGAGGCCCAATGCTCCAGGAGTTTCGAGGGTGTGTCTATCCAAGTAATCTCAACCCCGACGTCAAATTTTCAGCTGCAGTCCGCCAGAAAACTTCCAAACTTCATCATCGCATCCTCATCATGGCGGCTCAACACCAAGCTTCGCCAATTCGACCCTTTATCAGCCCTACAGAGTCCGAGTCTGGGGTAACCTGCGGGCTTTAGGTTCCGAGCCGCCAAGCTCAGGAACGTGGCCGGGGAACGTGGCTGGTGTGTTGATGCCCCCTGGTTAAGGCATCTGCATGGAAGAAGTGGAGCCATGCCTTGCGGCCTGAACGTGGCTCGGTGCGCCCGAGTAAGCAGGCAGCAATCTATCAAAACATCACGTGCAGCGGCGCCCAGAAGCAAACGACGCTAAACCATCGGCGTCGTCCGAACATGCGGGCCGGATGTGACTAAACCAATGCTGCTGACGACGCTGCTGTGCCGACGAACCGTTCCTATTCGCAGATACGCAAATACGGAAACTCGACAAGGAGTCACGGGATTCATACCATGCAGAGCCTTGCATAATATCGGTTTCTCGCGTCCCTCGGGCCTCGTGCTTTCGCGACCAGCCAAATGAGGCTCGGAACTCTTTACGAGCAGCAGCTTGAGTTTCCTCATCCGGTCGTCATCGACGGGCCTCAAACCAACCGTCGCATACCTATCCCTTGTTCTCTCCTGGGCATGTGCAAGCTAATTGCCTAGCACCAACTTTGAGGCCATCACCCAACAATCAGCCCAGTAATGTTGTCCTGCAGATCCTCGCGTATTTTGCAGCCAACAGGAAGGACGAATGCGGAACAACCACGCACAGGGAGAGCGTTGGACAGCCTGCGTTAGCTGTTGCCTTACGAGGCCATCCCCACCTGCGGTTCGCACTCGGTCGCATCGATGGGGAAAGCATGTTCAGCAGACCGGCCTCAGTGGGTCCACCAACGACCGGCAACCCGGCCAAGTCGGTAAACGGCCACTCGGGGCACAGCATTTTAGACCACCGAGCTCCATGGCGACGTCAATCCATGCCGACCAAGCGGCCGAGAGCGCGAGCCAAGAATAAGCAGCCGTGCAGCCGCATTCAGAACAGACATCCTCTCAAGCATTTAAGAGAGGGACACCCCGAGGTCTAGACGGGTCTTTCCAACTCATCGTGTAATCTTGCCTCGACTTCACACCTACACATCAAGCAACATCGAAAGCCACAAACCAATTGGCTTCAACACATATCAAACACTTTCAAAGTCAAACACCAAACATAATGTCTTCTAACCTCTCCGCCCCCAACTTCGAGATGCAGCGGCCCAAGAGCAGCCGCGCCGGCTCCGACGCGAGCTCCATCTCCACTGACTCCTTCACCACCAGAAGGGCAGTCTCCCAGGACTCTCCGCGTCCGGCGAAGAGAAAGTCCTCCCACTCCCAGACGGTCAACGTCTACACCCACTGCGGGCGTCACAGCTCCCAGTTCCTCTTTGGCGGTCGCTCATTCACCGACATGGCGCGCTCCATCTTCAAGCGCGACTAATTTGTTTGTGAACCGGTGTTCTTCTGCAAGAAAAGACAAGAAAGCAGAGAGCACCGTAGCAAGCAAAAGTCATCACCCACAGACGGTTTATCCAACCGTTCGCCGTCGCCGAATGCGACCGGCAGCAGACCCGCCAAGAAGACGGCGTGGCCGCAGGGCTCCACAACGGCTCGAACGGCTCCAGAAGGCGGCGCCAAGCGGGAACCCGCAAAAACCGCCCTCCGATGTTTCCTGCCAGTGTCCCTTTTGTTTGATGCGGAACATTGATCTGCAGAACACCGGATGCGGCGTAAACAAACGCGCAAGTCCCCTCGGCGCCAAGACGAGGAACCGTCCCGGGACGAGAAGCGCATTCCAGCCTCCTCCTCCTCCTCCTCTCCCCTTCTCATCAAGAACTTCTTTTCCGTCACGTCACGCAAGACAAGACAAGACATTTGGGGGCGCGCAAGGGGAAACAAAATCTCCACTCCACCCCTCATCCTATCTCACCTTTCGTAATTTTACGGGGGAACTGATTGCTGGCGCCTTGGCAGCGGTGAAGCCACGAGTAAGGAGGATGAGCTTGAATTGTGCCAAGCAACGGGACCGTTGAAACAGAAGACGCTCGAGCCAATCAGAGGCCGTCCTGGCCACGTCCCTCGTCAACTTCCAGTTTGCTGCTGCTGCTTGCTCGCCGCCGCATTGCGGAGAAGGGCAGACGAAATAAATTGACCCCATGGACGACGTGACATCGCTCCGGTCAGAATCCGTCCTGTTCTTTCTCAGCTGCTCCAATTGGCAAGCAGATGGCGATCTCTTCTCGACGACACCGCCCGCGGACAAATGGCAATAGCCGGATTTCGGTTTGTCTTCACGAAGACAACTCGGAGGCGGATAAAGCCCCATGGTTTCCGTAGCCTTCATCCTCAGCTCTTGTCTGAGACAGCTCTGCTTTTTTTATCCTGTCTTCTCATTTTTGATACCATGTTCCTTGTTCTTGTCTCTGTTTTGTCAATGATACCAGGTAGTCAAACAGTCTACAAAGCATCTGTTTAGCAAATGTTCAACAAATTTTGGTCTGAATAATAAAAACTACATTACAACAAAGAAATGTCTTATCTTAATGCCAATTCGTGACCCTGTCGCCGAGAAATCTAACCCCTGCAACTCGTACGCTTATGATGTCGATACCATGGCTCTCTCGCGTCTCTCATCTCTCCATATGGATATGACCGCATATCATGCGTGTATGTACCTGCCATGTCGTCCTCCTCGATGCAATGTGTACCAGTCTAAAAAGCCCAGCCCTTTGTACTTGTGCCCGTGTATGCCCCCATCACAGAAAACGCCAGTGAAAAAGCAGAAAAACCCTCTCCATGAGATCCACATCGGCGTAACCCCGACTACCAAGTGGGCATCCTCACCTCACCTCACCTCAACCTCTTCCCCCACGCACTTACTCCGCAAACTCCCTTCCCCCAACAACCCACCTAAGGCGACATGGCGTTCAACATGACCCTGGAGTGATCCAGCAGGTTCTTGTGCCCGGGCACGTTCTGCGTGTACCGCGAGTTGAACTTCATCACCCGCTTCGCCGCGCGGAACGTGACGTCGTCCACCGTCAGCGGCTCCGCGACCACGTTCCACGCGATGCCCTCGGTGCACGGCGGCGTCGTCAGGCTGCCGCTGTACTGGTACACGTCGGACCGCGCGAGCAGGTCCTTGAGCTCGCAGAAGTCGAGCCCCTGCGTCTCCGCGTGCGACCCGGGCTCGGCGACCTCGTCCAGGTGCGCGAATACGTTGGCCAGGAACGGCGACGGCGCGGCGTTGTCGACTTCGATGAGGAATCCCACGACGGAGGCGGCGGGACCGGTGGAGTCTGTGGGGGGGAGCAAGATTGTTAGAGATTTATGAACTACCAAGTTTATACAAATACGAGAGAAGAAAAGATGGCAGAAAAAACTTACTCTTGTTCGCCTCCTCGTCCGCCTCAAAGACAAAGTGCACCTCCATGGGGAAGTACTCGCTGTCCACGCGGTGCTCGCTCGGTGTGTGGAAGTGGAACTGCTTGAGCGCGTACACCCGCCCGTCCCGCGTCAGCGTGCCGTTCTGCGCGACCACCTCGAGCGTGCTGCCGAGATTCTCGAACACGGCGCCGTCCGGGTGCGCCGGCACGTCGAAGCCCAGGCTCACGCCGGGGACGAGCGTCGCCGAGGTGTCGTTGAGGTTGATGGGCGACTGGTGCGTGCCCGTGGCACACTTGGAGCTGGCGTTGTTGCGGCCGTGCCAGTTGAGCGGGCCTACGAGGTCGTTGTAGCCGAAGGTTGCGACCTCGACCTCGCCCTCTGCAGCGGAGCGGGCGTAGAGGGAAGTGCGGTGGTGGCAGATTGCCGCCGAGAGGGTTGCGAAGGGGAGGAGGCTTGAGGGTTTCATTATGGCTGGTGTACGTTGAATAGACTGCAAGAGTAGAGAGCTGTAGAATGAGATGAACCTCGAGACTGAAGTCGGGAAGATGGGGGCTCTTTATCCTCCTCCAGATCTCTGGGCACACGATCTCCTCAGATCTTGGAGGAGGGTGTAAGCTGCTTGTCTGGCGGGTACGCACAAAGGACAAGCAGGCATTGTTCGACTCGACCTCCAATGAGCCATCATCTCACGAGGCTGGGTGTGACAAAACAACTTGGCTTCCCCATTCAAGCGGCGTTCAGAATCTTGGCGAGCTCCGTTTCCGCGAAAAAGTGTCGGTAAGGTACGGATACTCCAGTCTCCCCCACGGCCAGGGTGCCGGACTGGGGGGTCCACGAAGGAGTCCCATGGGGGAGGGAGGGGGCGTCAGTCTGCCAGATGAAGATCACCAAGTCCACTTTCCATCCCCTCGAGAAGCAAGAATGAAAGATGCCAAGACGAGAGGCGGGAGGCGCAGGAGGAGAAGGAGGGGCTTGTAATAAAGCCGCCTTTCTTCTTTGGCTGGGTCAATGAGAAAGGAGGGGAGAGAAAAGGCGGATGACAAAAGATGCTCCGGTCTGCGTAGAAGGAATTAGACGGCTGACACGTCGTTGGACGGGTTGGTAAAAGGCCGTTTGCCGCGGCGAGCGAGGCGCGGAATACAACGGATGGAATCTGTTTTCCCCTTCAGGCACTCTCGCGTACCAAATTTGCCCATATTTGATAGAAAACAGCCATGCGAAGAGCCTCGCTCCAAGTTTATCTTCATAGCCTTTCCCTAAAAAAATCCCGTGTGTGCTCAGCCCTACCTTCGGGTCTTGGTATATGATCTCACATGAACTCCCGAGCCGTAAGCAAACAAGCTCGTTGTCGTCCCTCGACGCACACGAGGCAAGTTACGCCAAGACGCATTGCCAACGCTCACCGGCACAACGGTCACCCGCGGAAGATCCTCTCCCCGTCACCAGGCGTCTAGCCAAGCGCCCACAACGTGCTTTCAGAAGAGCACAAACGGCAAAAACCACGCAAACTGTGAGACAATCATCCTTCGTCCCGAATCCTCGGAAAGCATATCCTCAAATCGAGTTAAAAGGGCTTCTTCCAAGCAAACCGCAGCCCTACTCAATGCTCACCGCGCCACCACGAGTTTTAGACGCTGACAAACGCCGCGTCTAAGTAGCTTTTCTTCAGCGGCTAGTGAATCCTTCAATGGTAGACACCGAGAGACCAAATCCGTAGGCTACTCTATTGAAAGGGAGACCACAGCAAGCCCATCAGCTACAAGCCACGCTGGACGTCAGCGCTTGCTGACTATCCCCGCCTCGGAGATTTCAGATATGTGTGACGCCGTTGCAGGTGCGACAGCGCACATGACCGACGGATACAAGAAGCAAGCAGCCAGGCCAAACAAATACAATTCGAACCAAAGCCTGAACGGCTTTCGCCCGGTCTGGAGATGCCAAGTCCACAAGAAGGGAGAGAGAAAAGTCCAGGCCTTTGCCGTCGAGCTTGCCTACTGTGATCGACTCCAAGACCGCTAAGCCTTAAGCGAGGTCCATAGTCCCAACGGTCGTCCCGCAGTGGCTGGGCGCCTTTCCTTGGAACAGATTCGTGCCGGTTAATTTTCGAGCTAGCGGCAGAGCACGACCTACCAAAATCGAAGAAAAAGTCTGGGGGAGAGAAAAAAAGAGGAGGTGATCGTCTGGTCGATTGCGCTTTCGATTCGCTGAGACATTTCATCTTGGTCCGAGGAACGACGGTCTTGGTGTTTAAATTGACGTCGGTCGGAGGATGGCCGAAGCTGCGCTGCGGGGTTGACGGATGTGAGCAGCAAATTGATCTTGGGAGGCGACATTATCAACGATTCTGGATGTTGATGACGGCCCTCGTTTGTGTGTTATGTTGCACTTTGTTTGTGTCCTGCGTCATTCCAGTGCCTCAAAACTTCATGACAACGCCGCCGCAGCTGTCGAGGAGCGTTCCAGGTCTTGGAGCCAAGAGAACTAGGATTCAGATAATGACGGCATGTCAAGACTTCTTCACATACTCCATTCTGATATTGACCATTTCGGCACTTGGCTCATCAACGTCATGATGATGCCAGAATCGCACGTCTGGCAGGCAAACACAGTTCCGAGTCTGCCTTCATTGAACTGGCTAACATCACTCTCCGCACACGCTTCGCTGAACGCCTCCGTTATGGGCATTTTCGTCCTCATTGCTTCCATCCACGAGCGTAACCACTTGATCAGCTCACTGGCAGTAAAGCCATCACTACCAATGCAGCACCCGATAAGCAGCTTCGCTTGAAGCCCGTTCATGGGTTGAAGAAGCCGTCGACGCCCTACTGCGCAAACAAGATTGTCAGCAGACAAAGGTGAAGGTCAAGGTTGATGGATTCCTCGAACTTTCACGAGCGATGCATCCCCTCAAAGAAAGATTTGAGAAGTGACAAGGATTAGTAGAAGTTGATCCCGCGAAACGCCTCATGGCCGAACAGTTGCCCGAAATATATCCCCCAACTCTGCAAGCAACTTCCCGAAGCACATCTTGGCGAACATTTGAGTGCAAGGCGT